TTGATTGGTTAATTATCACGGGTGATCACATGTAGATCCATAAAAATTAGCCAATCATATGAATTTCTTCCTATGAATATATATATGTATGTTGTGTGTCAAATTAAAATCTGCGTCAAATTAAAATCATTATAATCCCGCTAATTTCTAACATAAGTACCCACACTAACCTTAATAAAACTCCGCATTTAAATTTTGATTTGACGCAAATTTTAATCCGATGCACGACATATACACTACATATTTAAATTTTATATTATTTTATTTCATCTTTGTCTCAATCAAATCATAGGTCATCATTGGTCTATTTATTCTCTATCGTATGATTATGATTTAAAATTTTATTTTTTTACGGAAATGGCAGCTGTGGATGTACCAAAGACTCCTTCAGCAATGGGTGATCTTTTGCCAACGGTTATTAAGACTTTACTTGGACTTCGAGTATGTTTTTTATTACTGATATAATTTATATTTTTATCAATCACTAAATTTCGTGTCTTTATTAATGCAGCATACATTGCTATCACTTAATGATAAAATTTCACAAATTACAAGAGCACATAGGGAGCGTAAATCAACGCCCTCTCCGCCTTCTTCACCACCACATGAAACCTCCCAAACTCCTGTAATTAAACGGGTGAAAACGGATATTTTTTCTATATTTGATAATATATATTAATATTTTGCTATAATGACATTAATTTGGCTTTTAAATATCGTTTTTTTGCCTATCTGAAATCGCATTGCTTTAAAAAATCTTGTAGAGATGAATTATAAATAATTTGTTATACAATAGTTTTCATTATATTACAAATTTTTGATGAAATCTTCGAGTCTATATAATTATACACAAATAAACTGTTTATAATTCAGATAATACTAGTTTTTAGATTGTTAGATTTATATTCTAGATAGCACCTATAGTTGAATGGACTTATGCCACTTTGTACTAATCGAATGTAACGGCTTGAAGTTTATCAAGCTAAATTTATTGTGACTAGTACGAATTGTGCACTGATTTGTGAATGTTACCATGATAGCATATGATTTTTTATGCTTGCTATGATTAAAAATATATAATATGATCAAATTTGTTTGTTTGTTCACCTTAAATATTCAATTCCCATTCACAATTCACTTAAGTAGATTCAGGATCTATAGATATTTCATATCCATCTACAACATATATATAACAAATTT